CACTTGCATCCGAATGTTCCCCCGGCATCTCTTTCCATTTCTATCCTATCTTAACGATACTCATCCTATCCTGAATAATCAAAAATTTATAGCTCTTTTAAAGAAAACGTCAGATAATTATTGTGAAACTTAGTTCTTTCTACTCGATATCTATACAGTGACGTATAGTTTTACTTTTTATGAACTATTCGTTTACTTATACAATATATACAAAGTGTCCCATTTTAACTTTGAAATGCGAATCTCTCTAAAACGGAGTATTTTTAAGGAAAAATGTTTCAGACAAAAGTTATAAGATTTGAAAAGATTTATTTACTGATCTTATCAATTTGACCTTGGATGTTGTCGCCAATGTTAAAACAAGTCCTTGAATTTTTTAAATAAAATCCTCCATTTTTTATTGTACATTTTTGTAGCAGATCTCAAGAGCTTTCCAAAACACTATTGTAACAGCACGCGCTGTTACTAAGCGTCACGCGGGCTCCACGTGAGCACCCCCATTTAGGGCCGCATTCCGATCCCCCAACTCGAGGATAAAAGCTCGAGAAGGGGTAGCTGCCGGGTAGGGTAGCACCCCAAGTGGGGGTAGCGCGACCGGTATAAAAGCCGGCTCGCGGAACAGATCGAGACCCATTCCCCGAGTACGACTCGGACAAGCCTCAGGGCGCACTCTGAAGCTCCGGTCGTACTCGCTCCCATCAGTGTTGCGATATGGGACCGGTTGTATGCGCATGTGCGGCTCTGCGCATGTGCGGTGATGGAGATCCAGTGCCGTTATATGTTATGTGTTGACCGTATGGCGGGACGTTTTGACATGAGAAGGTCTGGTGACTACAAATAAGGTAAGATTTATTTATTTACAAGCATGGAATCTACGGAGCCAGCAGCTAAAAAACCAAGAAGTAAAAATTTCAATCAATTTCAAAAAATTTAGAAATATTTTTAATGTAGCGGGGTAACGGTGCCTTGTTTAATTTGTATGAGACACTGTACTGACGCCGTATTGCCGCACATGCGCATACAACCGGTCCCATATCGCAACACTGCGCTCAATGCGCCCTTGGTGGGCTACGGACGATGGACGGTCCGTAGCCGTAACGATGCAGCTTGCGGGCTGCACCGTTACAATACACTTATGAGAACTCGTGCAGTTCTGGCCTGTACTGGCAGCACAGATGTCTATACTAGTACTAGATTGCTAACTTTAGGCTTTGACGTATGGAAAAACTGAGGGTGGCAAGATTTCCGGTTTCGGCCATGACACCCTACAACAAAATGGCCGCTCAACAACTGCTCAACAACTGCTCAACAACTGCTCAACAACTGCTCAGCAACTGCTCAACAACTGCTCAACAACTGCTCAACAACTGCTCGGCATCTTTCAAGAATTTTTACAATATTATCAATTTGTATCACCACGCCGGTATCACATGTGCATACGCACGTACAGAT